TTCATTAATTAACATTTGCTCCCACTCTTGTAATCGACTTTTCCATGCCATTGTATCTGATATATTAGTTTCAGTATTTTCCTCAGAATTGTTTCTTTTATCCAATTCACCTTGATCGTCTAATTTATTTTGTTCAGCTTGTCCAGATTCATCACTTTGACATGCTAGATTATTGGAAGGTTTGTATAGTTTTTTTCGTTGAATGAAGTTAATTGAAGCATGAATTTGACATATGGCTAACACTTTTTTATTCTACGATTTATAAAAAAAAAAAAAAAATTAAAACAATATCGAAATTATATTATACTTAGAAAATGGAATATGAGAATCCAGGTACTTTTAATTACAGTAATACTTACTTGAAGACAATTTCGTTGGTTAGTATGGATAAATCCCATCGAACTCAATAATTGTTCTACAGATGCTGCATTAACACAAATCCCAAATAGCCGTACAGGTAAAGGTCCCAATTCTTTAGTTGAGGGGGAGACAAATTCCCAAAATTTTAATATATTTTCTTTAAATTGTTTATATGTTGAATGATCAAATGAGTATTCATATTTTCTATATTTTTCAAACTCAAGTAGAATACAGGTTAGTTGATACTCAAACCATACTTTATAGTAATAAGTAATAAATTGGGCAAGGTATGTAAAGTTTAAATTATCAGTATTAGTTCTGAACCAAGTATCACGAATACTTGAATTTAAAAGAAAAGCTAATAACAATAATGGTTGCTCCCATTGCTTCCACCTTTGTTCTAGTCGTAAGATTATATGCTTTGCTAAATCCTCATCAGGATATTCCTCCTACATTTTTAATATTCTACCAAAAGATTGTAGCACTTTGTGAAGGCGAGTGGTATCTGATTGTAATTTATTGAGGACTTCACAATAAGAAAGAAGCAATGAGTGCAACAATTTTACCAAGTGCCAGAAATTATTATTGAGTAGAATCGACGTTATATCTCGTGGAAGATAAAGTTTATTTACGTTGATTGAAGATTGGCCTAATTCATTATCTGAATTTTGAGCTAAACCATACAAAGAAGATTCGTGTATAGTAGCCAAATTCTTAAAAAAAAAAGATGATTATTGAATTAAGTTACTAGAGCCTTCATGTTATATTAACTTCAAAATTAACTACAGATCAAATTTCTTTATTATATTACAATTGTAGCAGATCTAATTTAAAAATTTTATAACAAATTTTTTAAAAGAATATAATACTTACTCTCAAAGCTTGGCGAGATTTTATTAAACTCTTAAAGCAGTAGGAATAAGAATTCCAATGAGTATCTGCTGGGCAAACTAAGGTAATACATGTTTTATAAATTTGAAATTGTATATCCCAAAGTTTTCCAATAAAGTATGAATTAATAGCATAATTAAAATATAAAACTATTTTTAGAGGCCATTTGGATGTGACTTTAAATTTGTTAGATTCTTTGAAGATTTCTCCTACAGCAAGATTGCATTGATGAGCGAAGCAGGGTAAAAAAATGATTTTTGGATATAATAATCTTAGCCGACGTCTATTTAAACATTATTTTTTGTTAACTAATGGCTTATTATTAAATGATATAGGATTTTTAAACAAAGATTCTATTTTTTTTTTTTTTTTTAATATATATTTTTGATATTTATTTATTTATTTATTTATAGAATCTTATCTAGCATCAGAATATGCTGGAGCGCTATCAGAAACAATAGCAGATAATTTGGCATCTAGATCTGATGCTTCATTAATCATAGATTCAATTTTAAGAATAATTTCAATTATACGTTCTCTCTCTGTGCTTATATTAATTGCCTTCCAAATTAAAATTTCTCCAGTTAATAAAATAAATAAAGAACTGAATATATGTTGTTTTAAAATATTTTTCCATTCATCAAATGCTAAAGTAACTCCAATATTATCATTTTTTAGTTTTTGTTCACGAGACTGGATCAAAGTGGTCTTTTCAACATTAAGAATATGATTAGATAAAGCATGCCGACTAGGAAGAGTAAGTTTTGAGTTTAAAAATTCAAAGAATTCTAAAGTAGCTGGATCTGTTGTTTATCAAAAAGACCATCCATTTGAAATTGTCATCTGAAGTAACAGCCTTTTAAATTTTGGTTTCTCCTTTGTAGTAATGTTTTGAACAATGAGGTTTGTTACAGGATTTTTTGATGATTTTTGTTTGCTATTGCGGTTAGACATATTGGAAGTTGTAGCGCTACTGGTCGTATCACTTGTATTATCATCATCTTATTATTTAAAAAAATTTATTTTTATTAATTTA